GGTGTTCTAGTAGAACCCACCCTGGCTGATAGAAACATTGAGTAGAAGAATGACAACAGGCTAAAGCTTTGACCATGTTACAGGTCTCTGCGCCAAACCTGAATTGAGAATATGAGTTTTTCCTTTAGGAGATAGAAGTTGGTTTGCACGAAGTGCCGACTATGGAGTCCCTCATTCTGATGGGCAATTTTAATGATCATGCATGTCGGAGCAGACTCTGAAAAGTGGAAAGGCGTGATTGGGAAGAACAGCCCCAGCGACCTCAACAGTAGCGACATTAAGTTGTTGCGGTTTTGTGCTGACAATGCACTGTCAATCATGAACAGCTTCGAGCATCGAAGCGTGCATCAGTATACCTGGTACAGGGAAACTTGTACACAGAAGTCGATAATCGATTTGATAATCGTATCTTTTGACTCCCAACCTCTGTAATGAATGTTCGCGTTATAAGAGACGCAGAGGTGTCATCCGACCACCACCTTGTTGTTGGCACACTGCGCTGTAAAAATGGGGTACTATGCAAAGATCTGGTGGCAGAGGCAACCAGAGAATCAGATAGGACAACTGATTTTCTGTAGATAGAAGGGCAAAACTGCACGTAACATCACACGACGGTTTGAATAGAGTTCAGTGATGAAGGATGACATGGAAACGGAGTCTAAGTCTGTTAGAGCGGCTTACTCAGGGCTGCCACCTACTGATGCGATTTAAAAAAGGGTGGCTGTCGCCTAGAAGTCTAAAGCGAACTTCCTGGTGGACATCAAAGGCTTAACTAGCTGTCAGCAGGAAAAGAACTGCATTCAAAATTTCGCTTGGAAACAAACAGCCTTCAATTGGAATGCAGTTCGAAGATGCGCGCAAGGCAGCAACGAAAGCTTTGGTAAAAGCGAAAGCTGATTCCTAAGAATAGTTTTGTATGGTGCTAGAGTCGAATTTTCTGACGGCAAACAGGGCATTCTAACAGACCATCCGCCGCCTGCGAGATGGAAAAAATAGCTTTTTGAGGGTCCTGAACGACAAGTCTGGTCGCATTTGTGACAAGGAAGAGGATATACGTAGGCGATGGCGAAAGTACTTTCAGAAAATTCTTAATCCTGAGCAGCCACAAGAGGAGTCGCTTCAAGAGCAGCAAGCAACGGATATTAGTTTTCTAGTAGACGAAATCGCAGAAGTTTAAAAGGTGGGAGAGCCACCTGGAATCCATGAAATCTGCCCTGAAGTGTTTAAGGTTTTACCAGAACATGACATGTTGTAGCTAACACCGAACTGTCAAGGCCCAGTGACTGTACTGACTGACTGGGAAAGATGCCTGAGGGAAGACTATAGGGAGTGCTCACATTATCTGGGCATTACCTTATTAAGTCTCCCGGGAACGTCTACTCTGAGGTGCTGGAAAGGAAGTGCCGCGGAATACCTGACGCCAAAATACAAAAAGAGCAGTGGCTTCTGGCCCGGTCGAAGTACCTCTGATCATACATTTGCCCTGCGCCAGATTGTTGAGAAATCGTTGGAGTACGCCCCCTCCGGTATACATGTGTTTTGTTGACCTAGAGAAAGTTTATGACCGGAACCGTCGCAGCAAGCTGTGGGCGTGCTTGAAAACATGTTGGATCGATGACCAGTTGCTACGAGCCATCCAGTCACTATGGATTGATAGCTGGTGCTGCTTCAAAGTAATACACGATCGAGTCGAGATCTTTCAGAGCTGGCACTGATCTCCGCTGAGACTGCTTTCCGCCCTCTCTCCTGTTTCTGTTGTACATGGATAGGGTCGTTCGGCAACTGCAAAGAGGGTTTCAGCGTAGGAAAGGTAGAGACGAAAAGTTTGATGTTTTGCAGACGACGTTGTTTTTTGGTATCTTCCGAAACTGATCTCCATCGTTATCCTGAAAAATTCACATCTGAATGCGACGTAGGGTTCATCGGTGTGGACGTGTCTGAAACGAAAGATCTAGGTTTTTGGGGATGCTCTGCCCACTACGCGCTGCACATGGACGAACAAGCAGCTGAACATATGAAGTTTCCGTACCTTTGGGTCGTCTTTACTGATGATGGAAACTGGGGAAAGATATCGACTGGCTAACTGGAATGACTAGCGGCGTCCTGGGTGAACTAGCGTGAATTATTTTGACTAAACCAGAGCTAAGTCTGAAGATTAAACTGTCGGTGTTCAAGTAGATCTTCATCTCCATGCTTACCAACGGTCATGAGTCGTGGACCATGATTGAAAAACTTCGATCCTGGGTACAAGCGGCTGAAATGGTCCTCAGACGAATAGTGGCCTCACGCGTCTCGAAATTGTCTGGAGTACAGATATCCGAGAGAGCCTTGGTGTACAGTCGCTGTTTCTTCAGATTGGGAAGTCACAGTTGCGATGGTTTTGACACTTCCTGCGAGAATGCCTCGAAAAAGAACGTAAAATAGCTATTACTTGCTAAAGAGACCCGTCGAAGATTTCGTGGATGGTCAAGAATAGCATGAGGCAATAAAATGGAAGGATTGTACTCCAGACCGTAGTTATGTTTTGCCAAGGCTCAAGCACTGGCACAGAATTGAAAACTTTCGCGACACTGTCTGACGCGTCTGCCTGCGCGACCCGAATGAAGGTTTTGAAAACTGACTGATAATCCTACTGACTAACATTAGTAAATTCAAAATGTTGAATTTTGACTGTGGAAAGGAAAATTTAGAGAATCTTTACGATCGCACTTCATATAAATTTCATGCCAAGCTTAGTGCATTGCCTCAATAAATGAAATGTTGACTATCACATTTATCAAACTTAATTATGTATTTTACTAATAAATAATTAAACGATTATTGTGTGTGAGTATATTTATGTTAAGTCGTACTTAATATTTTGTAGGCGCAGACGCTGATCCATTTGCAAACGATGTGGCGAACTTGAAAATTCTGTTTGGCACTATTGCTCTTGTGAGGAGGTAAAATGTTTAGTGCTGTTGAAGACGCAGTCGTATTTCCTTCGCGAAGAAAAGCCCGGTAGCATTTTGAGATGTGATACACACTTGAACTGG